TCATCAAAACACCCGTTTTCTACCCCATAGGCAAGTGGGGCACCACCAAGGAGTGAGGGGGGGACCCCCACAAACCCTCTGTGCTCTCAAACTCACTCTGTGCCCCCCAACTCACCCCACCCCGAATAAATCGTGTGTGCTTTGCCCTGTCCGTCTGATTTGTGGCTTCACTGTAGGACTGCGGGGACCTCCCGTTCGTGGGGTGACCCCCGCGGGGGTGGGGGGGCTGTTGGACCCTCCTGGATTATGGGATGGGGGGGGCTTCTCTCTGCACCCCCAGGATAAGGGAGACCCCCTGAGTGTCTGTGCCCCCCCAGCATAACGAGACCCCTCCTTAGGGAGTCGAAAGGGGGACCCCCCTGCAGCTTGAGGGGGGGCACAGAGGGATTCGTGGCCCCCCCGGGATAAGGGGGACCCCGTGGGGTGTGGGGGTCGCAGAGCCGCCAGGACAAGGGGGTCCCACGGGGATGGGGGTGGGGTGACAGAACCCTCACAATACAGGGGGTCCAAAGGGGAAGGGGGGGGTTGCAGAGCCCCCAGGATAAGGGGGTTGCGCCCGGACCGGAGTCCCTTCCACTCGCCCCGCCCCGAGCCCTCAAGCTCCGCCCCGCCATGGGCGTGACCGGTGTCGTGCCACGTGTCAGGGCGTGGCCTCGGTGGCTGCACGTGCCGGGGGCGTGGCCATGGTCACGGGCTGCAGGGGGGCGTGGCGTGCATGGGGCTGCCGAAAATACTCTTACACTCCTTTTTCAAACTTAATCCCTCTGTCCAAACTCCTTCACGCTAATTTTTAACGCTCCGTCGTTCCCGATCGTAACTCAGGATCTGCCCCACGAGTGCAGGCAACAACAGAACCAGCGCTTTTCACGTTGGTAAAATTCCGCTGTGTTCAGTGTGACTGCAAAATTGTAACTGTTTTAACGAAGGTTGCTGCCGAAATTGCGGGCAGTTAAGATAAAGCGTCCGTAAACAAAAAGGGTCTGTCAGGGAAAGCGGGACTGTCAGCGTGTAGCATGGCAAGGGAGACAGGAAGGGGGTGAGAGAAATCTGAGCCGTTTGGAATGACAAAAGTTTATGTAAGTACAGTAACAGGGATAGGAGTTAGGCAACCAAATGTTTATTTAGATAAGGCAGACTTTATAAAGAGTGTGTAGTGGAGATCATTTTGAATCTCACTCCTTCTAATGTACAAAAAGCTGTTGTGTTTCTCTTCTCGGTGGAATGCACGGGGGGGCCCAACCCCCTCCTGCATCTCCCTGGCCCTAATAAAAGTGTGCATAATATCACCATCGCCCCGGGCACACACTGAGACCCCCGGGACCCCCAGAGACCGGCAGGACCTCACGGGACCACCCGACATCGCTCCACCAGCGACACCACACCGAAACGCGCCCCAGCAGGGAAAATAAACTCTTTCAGTAAAACTCTGGCGTTTCAGCGGGGGGAGGGAGGTACCAGGGGGACACTGAGGGACAGAGAGGGGGCTCTGTCCCTTCGCAGTGTGGGTCTGAGGCTCCCCGAGGAGGGTGAGGAGGGGGTCGGGGAGGGATGCGGGGCCGGGTCCCGGGCAGGGGTGGCGGGGCCAGCGCTGGCCCCGAGCCCTGGCACCCTCCTGGCAGCGCCGATGCGGGCGGGGAGGGGCAGGGGGAGGGCCTGGCGTTCGGACAAGGGTTGGGGTCCCGCTCCGTGCCCGTGCCGAGTCCCGCAGAGCCGCAGCCGGGGGGGGCACCATGGTGGTGACACTGGGCTACTGGGACATTCGGGGGGTGAGTGGGGCCGGGGGGGGCACAGAGGGGCTGTGGGAGGTCCTGGTGTCCCAGAGGGGGTGCTGGTGGTGTGGCAGTGCCGGGGGTCGCAGGGTGGATGTTGGGGGCGCTGGGGGTCCCAGGGTGGGGGGTAGTGGTTCTGGGGGTCCCAGCATGGTGTGGGAGTGCCGGGGGTCCCGGGGGGGTGTGGTGGTGCTGAAGGTCCCCGGGGGCTTTTGGGGGGTCTTGGGAGCTGTGGGGGTGCCAAAGGTGGGCGCTGTGTGTGTCCCCCCAGCTGGCCCACGCCATCCGCCTGCTGCTGGAGTACACGGAGACCCCCTACGAGGAGCGCCAGTACCGCCCTGGCCCAGGTGAGGGGGGGCTGTGAATCCCCCAAAACCCCCAACCCCCCAGGACCCCTTCCCCTTGTTTTGTGCCGTGTCAAAAACCCGCTGAGTGGGGGGGAAGGGACGCCCCGTTTCCAGCCTTTCCCTCTTCCCCACCTCGCCAATCCCTTCCTGCAGCTCCGGGAGGGCAAATCCCTCCCCAAAATCGGAGTTTGACCCCTCTCAGGGGCAACATCATCCCTGATCCGCCCAGGGCGTGCCGGGCTGGGGGGGCACTCGCGGCTCTGGGGGCCTCTCGTGGGCAAGTGGGGGGAGCTGAGGGAGCCCCCCCTGCAATTCCTCTGCCCTCCTGCCCCCTCAGCTCCCGATTTTGACCCGAGCGATTGGACCAACGAGAAGGAGAAACTGGGGCTCGACTTCCCCAATGTAGGTGATGGGGTGGGGGGTTTCTGGGGGGGCGCAGGGGGGTCATCGGGGCTGACCCTCTCTCTGGGTCCCCCCCCCCCCCAGCTCCCGTATCTCATCGATGGCCCCGTCAAGCTGACCCAGAGCAACGCGATCCTGCGCTACATCGCCCGCAAGCACAACATGTGTGAGTGGGGGGACCGGGGAGGGGGGTCGCAGCACCCGCCAGGGTCCCAGGGTTTTTTTTTTCTCGGAGGGGGGATAACACGTCCTGGTGCCACAGGCGGCGAGACGGAGGAGGAGAAGCAGCGCGTGGATGTGCTGGAAAACCAGCTCATGGATTTCAGGATGGAGTTTGCCCGGCTCTGCTACAACCCCGACTTCGTGAGTACCCCCAGGGGGGTGGGGGTCACGGGGCTGTCCCCCCACGTGGGACAAGGAGACCGAGCCACCAGCGGCGTGGGGGCGTCTGTTGGGGTGCATCCTTTGCCCCCATTCCCCTGTTCTCATCCCCCATTCCTGTCCCCAATTCCCATTTCCACTCCCCCCTCTCTGCCCGGGGGTGCTGCCCTGGTTCTGTGGGGCCCGGGGGTGTTCTGTGGGGTCTGGGGGATGTTCTGGGGGATCTGGAGGTGTTCTGTGGGGTCTGGGGGGTGGTCTGGGTGGTGTTTCAGCCCCCCAACCGTCCCCCCTGCAGGAGAAGCTGAAGGCGGGATACCTGGAGCAGCTTCCCAAGAAGCTCCAGGAGTTCTCGCGCTACCTGGGCTCCCGCACCTGGTTCGCGGGGGACAAGGTGAGTTCAGGGGGCTCTGAGGGGCTTCTTTGGGGGTCTCTGTGGGGTCTGACCACCCCCTTTCCCCCCAGCTGACCTTCGTGGACTTCCTGGCGTACGATGTGCTGGACCAGCACCGCATGTTCGTGCCCAACAGCCCCGAATTCCAGGGAAACCTGGGCAAGTTCCTGCAGCGCTTCGAGGTGAGGGGGGACAGGGACCAGCGGGGGGACAGCCCCGGGAACAGCCTGGGGGCACCCCAGTGCTCCCTGGTGTCCCTGTCCCCATCCCAGAGACCCCCCGGTGTCCCCAACCCTGACATCACCCAGTGCCCCCATCCCAGATACCCCAATGTCCCCCGTTCCTGCCCCCTTTTTCCCCATTTCTGTCCCCTTTGTCCCCATCCCTCTCACCACATCTCCCTGGTGTTTCCAGCCCCGTCCCTGTGTCCCCATCCCTGTCCCGTGTCCCCATTGCTTTCCCCACGTGTCCCAGTCCCCTCCCAGTCCCTGCTGTCTCCCCAATGTCCCCCCGTGTCCCCCCAGGCCCTGCCCAAGATCTCCTCCTACATGAAGTCCCCACGGTTCATTAAAGGGCCCTTTTTCTACCGCACGGCCAAGTGGAGCAACACCAAGGAGTGAGGGCAGAGCCCCCCGAGCCCCCAAACTCACCCTGTGCCCCCAACTCACCCCACCCCGAATAAATCATGGGGGGCTCTGCCCTGTCCGTCTGATTTGTGGCTTCACTGTAGGACTGCGGGGACCCCCCGTTTGTGGGGTGACCCCCGCGGGGGTGGGGGGGCTGTTGGACCCTCCTGGATTATGGGATGGGGGGGCTTCTCTCTGCACCCCCAGGATAAGGGAGACCCCCTGAGTGTCTGTGCCCCCCCAGCATAACGAGACCCCTCCTTAGGGAGTCGAAAGGGGGACCCCCCTGCAGCTTGAGGGGGGGCACAGAGGGATTCGTGGCCCCCCCGGGATAAGGGGGACCCCGTGGGAGCCGCCAGGACAGGGGGGTCCCGTGGGATGGGGAACTGCAGAGCCCGCTGTTAAGGGGGTCCCCATGGAACTGAGGGGGTCGCAGAGCCCCCAGGACAAACGGGGGGGTCCCCGGACCGGGGTCCCTTCCACTCGCCCCGCCCCCTCTAGACCCGCCCCTAGGGGCGTGACCGTGGGGCTGTCACGTGGCGTGGGCGTGGTCGTAGTCACGAGTGGCGGCCATGGCGGTGTTGGGGTACTGGGACATCCGCGGGGTGAGCGGGGGGTCCTCGGCGGGAGACCCCGGCACGGGGAGGGGGCTCAGGGACCACCCCCGGCCTTTGGGGGCGCCGGGGGGGCCCTTTGTTCTTTGGGGGGGCTGTGGGAGGTTTTCGGGGGCTCCCCCCGTGTTTTGGGGGGGCTTCGGGGGAGCTTCAGGGATTCTCTTGGTCCTTTGGGAGGCTACGGAAGGTCTTCGGGGGTCCCCCGCGTTTCTCGGGGGGGCTGTGGGGGTCCCTCTGCTCTTTGGGGGCGTTGTGTGTGTGTGGGGTCATTCTCTTCTTTTGGGGGGGTCTCTTGGGTTCCTCC